TCTTATTAGGGTGTGTATGTAATCTGATTAGGGTGCAAGTAATCTGATTAGGGTGTGTAATCTGATCTGATTAGGGTGTGTAATCTGAGCTGTTGTGTAATCTGATTAGAGAGTGTAAGTAATCTGATTAGGGTGTATAATTTGTTATTAGGGTGTGTAATCTGAGCTGTTGTGTAATATGATTAGAGTGTATAAGTAATCTGAGTAGGGTGTGTATGTAATCTGATTAGGGTGCGTGTGTAATCTGTGATTTTAAGGGTGTAATCTGGTTGTTGGGTGCGTAATCTGATTAGGGTGTGATCTGTGATTAAGGCGTGATCTGTGATTAGAATGTATAATTTGGTTGTTAGGTGTGTAATGTGGTTGTTGTGTGTAATCTATGATTATGGGGTGATGGTAGAAAATGACTATCCAAGTAAGGGTGTTTCGGGTAACTAGCCCCCAATAGTCACCTTTGGGGGGTGAGTGTAGAAAATGACTATATAGGTAACATGCTGTGTGTTCCAGGTAACCAACCTTCGATAGTCATTTTGAGGAAATAAGGAGGTGATGTCCTCGTGGTAATGGTTACACGTTGTGTGTTTCGGGTAACCAACCAGGAATAACCACGTTAAGGAATAAAGGTGGTGTTGATGTTCTAGTGGTAATAATCACTTGTTGTGTGTTTTGATGGATCGCCTTATGACGATTATATGTTTGACCCCAATAAGGGAATTCCTTACTGAGTATTCTTATACTTACCCTCCTTTTAAAATGATTTTTCAGCGAAACTGTGACATGGAAGTGACGAGTAGGATGCCAAAGTCAGTCACAGGGCGGTTCAAGGATTTTTATGTTTTTTGAAGTCTCATTTTGTTGGAGAGATGTTTCCACACTTTTATTATTAATTTAAACTGTGTGGACGCCTAGTTTATGGGAACTACGATCACACCAGATTTCCTTTTGATTTTAATTTCCTACTTTGTTTTGAATATCTTTAGGCAGCATTTTTTTAACTTTTTAAAGTGGTACACCGCACCTGATTTCTAATAAATGATCTTGTTTTGCATGGTTTTCATTCATCTTCAAATAAATCACATTACTTTTGGTAACAGCCCTGACCGCTACTTATATGACAAGTCGAGTCGTTATAGTACAAACGTTTACCTACATTTCACCATCTTAAAGTTTTTGGTTGTAATTGTTATGCAACTGTAGTACATCCTAAGCAAAAATTTGAACTTGGGGTAATTCATTATGTTTTCATAGGATATTCTTGTGGTCACAAAGGCTACAAGCGATATGACATGCAATCTAAAAACTTCTTTATTAGTAGTGATATTAAATTTTGTGAGGATGATTTTCCTGTTTCATCAGCTTCCCAAACTTTGACATTAGTTCCTTCAACTCCCATTTTACCACTTCATAATCCATCCTACTCAAACATTCATTCTAATCCTCCCCTTTCTATCCTTCTATTCCTTCTCCAAATTCATTAGTTCCAGATTCACCCACTAAATCTAATTTTATCCCACCCAATACATCAGTTCCACTCTGACGTTCTACTCGTACGAAACAACCACCAACTTGTTATAATGATTACGATATGTCTTCTAGAGCCAATCATTTAACCTCTAGCTCAAGTCCCAACACTAACACCAGGTTTTCCCTTCATCATTGCCTTTCATTCTCTCGTTTTTCTCCTACTCAATGTGCTTTTCTAGCTCTTATTACAGCCCAGACAAAACCTAAAACCTATGATGAGGCAGTTGGCGACCTATTATGGCAACAGGCTATGAATGATGAAATTGCAGCTTTGGAACGTAATCATACTTGGTCTCTCATTCCTCTACTACCTGGCCATAAAGCTATTGGCTGTCGTTGGGTGTACAAGATTAAACACAACTATGATGGTTCTGTTGAACATTATAAAGCTCGACTTGTAGCAAAGGGATATACTCAGGTTGAAGGTGTTCATTACAAAGAGACATTTTCTCCTACAACGAAACTTACTACACTTTGTTGCTACTCACTATTGCCGCACAATCATCAGTTGGATGTTTAAAATGTCTTCCTCCATGTTAATCTAGACGAGGAAGCCTATATGTCTTTACCACCAGGTATTCTCTGACAGGGGGAGAATACAACCCCTCTTATCTACGTTGATGATATTCTATTGTCAGACAATGATCTCAAATAAATTCAACATCTCAAGATTAGTTTACTCGAGAAATTCCTTATCAAAGATTTAGGGAATTTTAAATATTTACTAGGTATTGAATTTTCTGGGTCTAAAAAGAAATCTTTATGTCTCAAAGGAAGTATTCTCTAGACATTCTTCAAGACACAGGTCTTACAGGAGCATGTCCAGAAAAATTTCCTATGGAGCAAAATCTGAAACTTTTTTTTAACAAAAGGAGAAAAGTTGAATGATCCAAATAAATACAAACGGTTGGTTGACATATTAATATATTTAACCGTTACTAGGCCTGACATAGTGTATTCAGTTCGTATGCTTAGTCAATTTATGCATGAACCAAGAAAACCACATTGGGAGGCAGCTCTTCGAGTTTTGAGATCCATCAAAAGTACTCTTGGTCAAGGACTTCTACTACCATATGAAAATAACTTAAGATTACAAGCATATTGCGAGTAGGACTGTGGTGGTTGTCGAACTTCTAGATGGTCTATTTCTAGGTTCTGCATTTTCCTTGGAAATTCAATTATTTCTTGGAAGTCTAAAAAACAAACCAATGTGTCCAGATCATCAGCAAAAGCCAAATATCGAGCTATGACAAATACTTGTTTAGAGTTAACTGGGTTAAGATACATTCTCCAAGACTTGAAAGTTCCACTGTCCGAACCAACATTATTGTACTATGATAATCAAGCAGCATTACACATAGCAGCCAATCCAGTTTTTCACGAACGTATGAAACACATTGAAATAGATTGTTATATAGTTCAAGAAAAATTACAAGCTGGAATCATCAAACCGTGTTATATTTCGACTAAAATGTAATCGATAGATATTTTCACTAAAGCTTTGGGAAGACATCAATGTGATTTTTTGAAAGACAAGTTAGTTGGGTGTGATTGACATACACTCTTCAACTTGAGGGAGAGTATTGAGATATAATATTTGAAGTATATATTATTTATGAAACATGAACTATATCTTAGATATTATATCTTAATATTCTTTCTTTATGATTTGATTTATATTATATTTTATTTTATTATCAATATTTAATTACTTTATATTTTCGCTAGCTTGTATTAGAATATCAATTAGAATACACACCTTTGATTCAAATTCTATTTATATTTCTCATCCTCAATGAGATTTTATGGACCTATATTATAAGCTCTAATAATACAAAATTAATTAATTATTTTGATTTATTAACCATAGTTCAGTTCACTATAGGCTTAGAGTCGTACTCTTATGCACAGTAGGACAAATTGTGTCCATAGACATAATCATTACAAGTAAGTTTTTCACGAGTGTAATTACAATTGGGTCAATAGTTTGTCTTACCCTGTAATTACACCTCTCATTTTAAGTGTACTTACTCTAACAATTTGTTTATGACCCAATCATAAAATAAGTTTTTCTCGATCTAGTGAGAGGATGGGGTCCCATTATTCCCGAAATGAGCACTTAAGAAAATTGTTCATGTACTTCCCTCTGGGAAGTACGAGTTTCATTTCATAAAATTATGTTCTTAACTCCCTTTGTGGTCAAGTTTCCAAAATAGTAACTATATCAAGCTACAACAAGTCATTATTACCTATGCAAATTGCAAATTCAAGAACAAGCGCTCACAGTCAAGAGTTCATGACTCACTGAGAATATAAGATCGAGCCACATAGCTCACAGTCAAGAGTTCATGACTCACTGAGAATATAAGATCGAGCCACATAAGATCATCCTGTAAAATATTAATATTCCCTATTAACGGACTTATAAGGAGAGATTCAATATTTCGTGGATCAATTTAATCACTTCTAACAATTTCAAAGTGGTACTATCAATAGTATTACCCAAATAAAACATTAAACATTATCCATATACTATAGACGTTATTACTTAAATATGATCATTTTGTATGTCAACCACATACGGTTCAAAATTACATTAATAACCTTGAAAATATTACATGGTAAATAAAATAATCAAAATTATTATTAAAAATAAATAATTAAGTACACGACTTTATGACATAAATTCCAACATAGATGTGACAATATCACGGTTTCCCCTTATGGCCGTATCGTTAAGTTCACACAAATCTCGTTTTCTCGTGATCATACACATGCATGAGGTCTCCAAAATAAGAAAACATACATTACAATTCTTGATGCATATATGCTAGTAATGCAAAAATGATAAGACGTTTTATGAAAGATATGAGTATAATGATGAATCATAGTCTTATCTTTCATAAAACGTTATCGTTTTTGTATTACTAGCATATATGCATCTTTTAAAAAATAACGTGGTTGATATATGTACATCATTAAAACCTACGATTTTTCGTAGAAATTCGCATAGCATATTAGTTTGCGGTCGTCAGCATAGCTCACTCTCTAAAATTATATACATGATATACATCAAGTTAGTCATCCCACCAAACGCATAATGCTCTAATATTAGATTCATGGGCTTCAATTGCAGCTTTATACGTACTTTAGTCATCCATCATGCGTTTCAATGGTATTAAATTTTTTTAAAAGTGGATGAAAATGGACTAAAATGAGCCATAAAATTATCAACTCGAGCATAAAACCTAAATCGAGAGACCTGAGCCGTAATCGGGTCGAGTTGATTAAAAGTTCTTGATTAGTGCAAATTTATGTTATCCATTTGACTTTTACGAAGTCAAAATTAAATTTGGTTTGGGAGTTAAAATATATATTTTAAATATTTGAAAAACTAAAATAAAAATTATAAAAAAGAAAAACAAATATAAATAAGTAAAATAAGATTTAATTAGAGAAAAGTTTTGTTGAATTCCACTGGACGACGGTGGCATCGTGATAATCGCACATTTGGAAATATAACCTCCAGTAGTCCCGCGGCGCCTGCGGCTGTGGTATATTATCCTCTATCACGGCCTAACCCTAAACCCTTCGTCATCCCCTCCGGTCGCTGCAAAAAGGAGGATCCCGAGGTCTTCTTTCAGCCCTTGCCGACCACCGTAGTACTGTCTCTATCGCTTATCACCTCCTCGCTGCAGTTTACTTCGTTAGTTTCCCAATCCTTGGTATGTCGATCTCGTTAGTCGTTACTTTTATCAATCACTGTATGACAAAAAAGAAAAATGAAAAAAACTACGCTCGTATTCGTGCTGACAAACTTGTATCTTAGGAATCATAAATTTGATTTTGATTGTTATGATTTTTTTTTCCATCTTCATACTTGGGCTGTAAAAGCTAGCCCTAGAAGTTATTAAAAACTTGGTTCCGAAGTTTGAGGTTTTCTTTTCTTAATCGTGCTTCTGTGCATTCCCTGTACCGAATTGGTGCAACGAATTTCTTCAATTTGTTTCCTGTTAGTTGGGATTGGACTTAAGATCGCGTCTCAGGGACCCAACTTGTTGAATTTTGTTTCCATTTTGTTAATTGATAGAACATTATAGTATTTCTGCTTAATTTTTTTAATGTATGTTTTCCATTGACGTCCTTGGATAATGAAGTTGGACCAAGAGTATTAGCTATTTGTAATATAACACCAATGTTTTGTATGAAAATGTCCTTAATTATGTTGAAACGGAAGGCAGAAAATATTTGTACCATTCCTCTTTGGAATCGGATGCAACATAATTGAGGATCTCACCGATCAGCTAAAGTTAATCAACAGAGGACATCTTACATATTTTTTCAGGATTGTTTTCTCAATGCTGTTAAGAGAGCCGAGTAAGGTAAAATTAATCATGTATGTCACTCTTACCTCATCTCATGACACAGATGCTTTCTTTATGATAGATGGCAAGCGCTTGGACAAATATGAGCATTGCAATCATACATAGGGATATAGGGAGGGAATGGGAGAATCATTTTGGAGTTATGGGTATTATTTTTTTAAATGGAGCTACTTGCTCACTCTCAGAAGAGCTATGCAGTGCTAAAATTCTGGAGAGGATGGGGTGATACAAAATTTATTTCAATTTTATTACACCTTTGGAGCATCTTGGAGCAAATGAGCAAATGGAATTGTGGAGCACGGCTCACATTGAGGATTGCTCTCTTGGTTTGCTTCATTGTTTTTGGTTCTGCCTTATTTGGAGAGCAAAGTTGTTGATGCAGATGGCAATTGGCTATGGTGGAAGATGGTGTTTCTTTCCTTTTGATGATTCGTTGAACAGATGTATGATGTTATGACATACATGTGCAGGACTAATATTCAAACTTGCTCGGAATAGTTTGTTGCCTTGAAGATGAGTAGTCGTTTTTCTCGCACAATATATGTTGGAAACTTGCCCTCAGACATAAAAGAGTATGAAATTGAAGATTTGTTCCACAAGGTATTTGTCCTTAGCTATTTCTTGTCATGGTTTCTGCAAATTGTTCTCTCTTTTCTTATTTAAATATATGAAGGTACGTTACAATGGTGATTTACAGCCATTCAAATTTGTTTTCATTTTATTTTGATAAGTAAACTTACTGCATTTATTTTCTGTCTCCTGCATATCTAAGGCTTAATCTGTGTGAACTTACGAAATCTATTTCTACATGATTGATATTTCCTTGCCAGTATGGACGAATTTTGGATATTGAATTGAAGATTCCTCCACGCCCGCCGTGTTATTGTTTTGTGGAGGTATTGCTTTTGATCTTTAGTTTTTATCTACTTTTAGCTGCATTTGCAAAGTTGTTTTTTCGTGATATTATGTTCTTTCTGCTGTTAGTTTGAGAATGTTAGGGATGCAGAAGATGCAATCCGAGCTCGTGATGGGTATAATTTTGATGGTTGCCGTCTAAGGGTATTGACTGAGTTTTCCTTTCCTTTTCCTTTATTTCTTAATTCGTGTTGTATTTATATTCACATTTTAAGTTTTTCTAATAGGTTGAGCTTGCACATGGTGGTAGAGGCCCTTCATCCAGTGATCGTCGTAGCAGTTATGGTGGTGGTGGTGGCGGCGGTGGTGGTGGTGGTGGCGGCGGTGGTGGTGGAGGAGGAGGAGGGGGAGGGGGACGTTTTGGTGTTTCAAAACGATCAGAATATCGGGGTATGAGAATATATAAGATGTTGCTATATAAGGAACAATGATGCAATTAAAATTTTCCATGTATAATATTATATTAGGTTCACATTAATTCAATGTGCTAATGAATGTCTAAATTCTCTCGCAGTTATTGTACGTGGACTCCCATCTTCTGCTTCTTGGCAGGATTTGAAGGTGCTAGAATCTTTATTGCTCAAAGGTTTTTATTTATGAGATCATGTTGATGACTTAACTGGTATAATGCTTTCAGGATCATATGCGTAAGGCTGGTGATGTGTGTTTTGCTGAAGTTTCTCGTGACAGTGAAGGTAAAAAAGCTGCTATTGTTTTTCGTTTGTGCAAAATTGTTTTACTGTATAGGACTAATTTCTTTAAGCCAATGTTGCTCATTTGTTTTGTTTTACAAATTCAACTCGTGTAAATTTCTGATCATGTTCCTAGAGCAATTATAATACACATGGTATTATTTAGAATGCAAGATGGGCATCATCCATAATTCTTACTGCAAATATTTAATTTATGCATTAGTTCCTCTCCTGACCTCAGAACACAATTTCATGGGTAGGCTTTTGTAGTATTTTTATCTCTGAAAAGTGGTTTACTTTCTATTTAGTGTCTCTGTATTGAGCTTATATATATATATATATTTGATAAGAAGCAATTTCATTCATGTATAAAATTCAAAGAAGGGATGGATAGATAGTTCATGATGATGACAAAAGATTTTCCGAATTGGATAAAAGGGAAGCATACCAATATGAAGCAATGATGCTTAACAGTTTACACCAAGGGATAACATAATAGATAACAACATTTTTTTCTTAACAACCCAAAAGAACACTAATTGACATGGACCCATAGTAAAGTTTTGACATCTTTGAAGGGGTGGCATGTTATGACAAAAGCGAGAATGTCCTCCACATCTTTGGGGAGAGTTAATAGCTAGCCATAAGTGTTGAGGATTCTGTCCCAATATTTACAAGCGAAGGTTTCTCTTTTGCAAAGAGAGCACCATCTTGGAGCAATGGAATGGAAGAGAATATGGTTTAGAGGTTCATCTTCTCTTTTGCAAAGAGAGCACTCTTGGAGAAATGGCCATGACACATACCTTTGGACAGATATCACCAAAAATTTAATCTTCTGGGGATTAATTACCCTCCAGATTCCATTAGCTATTGTCTTATCCAAGACTTGTGTTGTATTCCCCACGATAACTTATAATTATTTGGTGGTGAAGGACCCACTACGATGTGCCATCCGTCACAAATGCACTCTTTCGAGTCTTGAAATATGACTGTGTGACATTTACTCTCGTCTTCGATTAAGTCAACCAACTAAAACTTGGGTCATTGGCACAAACGACTTATACTCAAATCATCAGCCCTACTTTAAAAAAAACAGTTTTAGAAAATGGGGTTAGAGAAAGTTATGGGAAGTGTTTGAAAAGCAATTTAAGAAAGCAATATTTAAGCTAGCCAACAATAACGAACAATGACGACATTAATAGCATGTAATTCAGGGAGAAAGAATTGATAACTAGTCATCCCTTTAATTGTACATTTTGAGGCGAATTGTCTTTTGCATGTGTAGGCATCCTAAGTGGCGAGGAGATGCACATAAATAACTAGCTAACATTAAAGCTAGGTAAAAGAATTTGGAATGGGCATGCGGCCACATACAACACACTTTGGACACGCATGATGGTGGCTTCCTTTCCCACTTCATTGGTTGACGTCCCTGTCAATCGACTCTGCACGAATTTTGAAGTGTGGAGGACGTGTTTCTAACTGTTCTTAGCATTAGGGAGTCTCTTTTGGTTTACAAAAACCTTTTGTACATCTCTTCTTGATTTTTCGACTCGCTTGATAGAACTTTTCCTTCGATTTGGAATTCTCATGGTTTGTGTTTTTGATTGACCCATTTCCTTTTTAGTTGGGGATGATTTTCCTTAGTAAGAACGAACTACCTCAGAGGTTTGTCTCTACACTTTGGTGAAGTTATTGGCTTGGGGCCTCTCTCCAATGTTTCAGTCATGCATAGTCATGCATATCTAGGGTGTGTTGCCTACGGTCACAATTGCACTCTTTATGAGCTTGCACTGCAATTGTGCAACAATTACTCTCACTTTTGAGCAAGTTAGCATTGGCATAGGCGACCTATACTCAAGACTTTGGCTCTGCTTTTGAAAAATAATTTTAGAAAATGAGGTTGGAGATGGTTTTGGAGAACTTTATGAAAGTGTTTTGTGAAAGCAATGTTCTAGGCTTGCAAGTAACAAGGGACGACGACAGTGATAATATTTAACTTTGTTAGGAATAATTGACGACCAGTTGCATCCCTGTATAGTACATTGGGAGGCACTTTAGCCTTGATAGGAATGGACATGAATCGATAAGGTGTCATGCCCACATAAATTTTAATAATAAAATAATAAACAACTAACATGAAAGCACATAAAAGAGTTTGGAATGGGCATGTGGATACAAAAAGGCGTGCTGCCCTTACTTAAACAAAAAGGCCAAATGCGGGGTCTGCTTCCTTACTTATTGGTCTCGAAGCTTCCTCTTCATATATTACATAAGCCCTCAATCAAGTGGGTAACCCCAAAAGGCGATCTCAGCCTCTTTTTAGGAGTTGAATTTTGTTTGCCTCCTATTTCCTTAGTAAACTGTTAACGAGGAAGAAAATGGATGTGCATACAATACACTATGAACAAGCATGACCGTGATGCCCTAGACAATTGACCTCTCTCGAACTTGGCAATGTGAACTGTGGGTGACTTCGAATCTTTGACGTATTTCCAACTCATTTTAGTATTAGGAGTCCCTTCCACTTCTTTCTCAGTAGTATCCTAATTCGTGATTGGACGATCATTTCATTGTGCTTGGTGTCTTTCTCATGGGGATGATATGGTTTTAGATTACTTACATGGAGAAAATCCCGGAACTCTTGAAGCCTATAGGAGGTATTTTGACTTTCTCAATGACTTTGACTAGTCTCTCATATTTTTGCACCAGTCCGTTGATCCCTATTACCTCATTTATAATTTTTCTGGTCCTAACTTGAAATTCTAGTGGCATGCGTTTTAGATCTGTCCATTTCTTCATTCGCTGATATACTTTCTCGAAGCGTGTACTATCTCAGAGGTTTGTCTCCACCTTTCTTCCTATTGAGGAACTTTCTTGGTAGTTGAAGCTAAACTAGGCGTTATCAAGCATTTGTGTCCAATTTTTTTGTTGCGCATCAATGAATTGACGCTAAAATTCTTTGAGCATATTGTTAAACCTTTGAGTTTGTCCATTTGTTTGGGATGATTATGATTGTTGGAAAAAATATTCAAGTTTTTCCATCCATTAGACTTGTTATGAATGTTAATTTTATTTAGGGTGCGATAGTCGATACATAAGTGTAGACTCCCATCCATCTTCTTTTTAAGCATGGGAGCTTTTGCTGGCTTGATAAACAAGGTGTCACAATCATGCTTGTCCAAGGCGTGTTGCATGTGGCCGCATGCTCATGCCATGTCAAACTCTTTTATCTGCTTTTAGTGTGTGACATTTTAGCAAAATCATGTCTACTCTGGCCGGACATGGAATACCTTAAAAATGTACTATAGAGGGATGCGACTAGTTATCAATTCTTTTAATTCTGTGTTATATGCTACCGAAGCTGTGGTTATCCCTTATTTGCTTCCTAGCTTGTAATATTGCTTTCTAAATTTTTTTTCAAAACATTTCCAAAATATCTTTGTCCTCGTTTTCTAAATTTTTTTCCTCAAAAGCAAAGGCTGAGGGTGAGTCTAGGTTGTCCATGCTAATGAGCTAGTTAACCATCTCAAATTTATGTTGCCGTAGGCATGGGTGACGTATGCTCGAACCTCGGAGGGAGAATGACTAACCAGATAAAGGAAAATTGATTTACATGAAAGACCACCTAACAATCTTGGACTCTATATATGATCACTCCTTTTTGGTCAATGAAAATCCCCATGCAAAGAAAGAAGATTGATAAAATCTTTGTTTCCCTATCAGACTAAGGATGGTGGAAACCCGAAAGAGGGGTAGGAGAGGTCATAGGATGAGACAGAATGGTAGGTAATCACTCATTCACCTATTGGTATCGGTCTCACAATTCCATTGCTTCCTCATCCTAGATAAAATTATCACTCCCATCCCCAACTACCAGAGAATGGAGAAGAAAGAAAACTCCTTAGCAATACCTTTCCAAGGATTTGGTTTTGGTTCTCATGGGAAATGGGGGTTCTCAACTGGTTGTTTTTAAGACCAACCTTTTCTGGTCGGCACACAAATATGATTTTGCGGATTGGTTAAATCACATGGTTATATGTCTAGCTATTTTTGGGAGAAAAGGTCTTAGGGTAACGCTATGCTATTGATGTCTCATTCCCAGTTTTCATTCCATCATGAATTTCTATAACATATTCTCTTGCAACTTTGTATCATCCTTATATTTTGTTGTTTAATGGTATTTTGGTGTCAACAATGTGTTATGTTGTGCCACTTTGATATTTGAAGAGGCAGTATCTTTCATTCATTTATAATCCAGGGGCTGTATTATGAATAAATTTTATTTTTTATAATGTTTAGCATGTGACATACCACTGATGCCAATCATTTACACTGTAACTACTAAAAGTTGTCTATTTTATTATCCTTTCAAGTTCTAACAGATGTCAGAATCTGAAATTACTTCGAAGTGATGATAATTAGATAAATATTTACTATTTGAAATCAACATGTCCAGGGACATTTGGGGTTGTTGATTATACTAACTATGACGACATGAAATATGCTGTAAGTTTTTCTAAAAGCATGTTTTATTAGAAGTTCTGCATTATTCCAATTTGACACTAATGTTTTTTCTTCTATTATTTAGATTCGAAAACTTGATGATACTGAATTCAGAAATCCTTGGGCTAGAGGATACATTCGGGTACCTTATCTTTGTCAGTTATTTTGAATTAGCCGATGGTTGTGATGTTTTTTCATTTACAGCCTATCCTCTTTCTATGAGAATTTTAAGAAACTGAATTCAGTTTTTGTGCCCCTTGTTTGTGGATGACATATGGTTGCAGGTGAAGAAGTATGATGGAAGTCCCACCAGGAGCAGGAGCAGGAGCAGGAGCAGGAGCAGCAGGAGCAGGAGCAGGAGCAGAAGCCGAAGCCGAAGCCGCAGTAGAAGTCGGGGTCGGGATCGTAGTCGGAGCCGAAACCGAAGTCAAAGCCGAAGTCGAAGCCGTAGCCGTAGCCGTAGCCGAAGTGCTAGACCAAATAGGAGGTTCCAGCTTTTCTGTTTTACTGTTATCACTTTCATGGCCTTATATTTTACATTATAATGTTTTCTTGTACCATGCAGCAAATCAGCAGAAAGATCTGTTTCTAGATCCGTTTCAAGATCAAGATCTCCATCCCCTGTTAAATCTTAGGTACCTGTGGCTTGTGTGTGTGTGTGTGTGTGTTTTTCCCCCACGTTTGGATTTGCTTGACAAACTTCTCTGTAAAATACGCAGGCCACTTTCGTAATCAAGATCTGGTCACCATGTCAGGTAATGCAACTTCCAGTTTTAATGGTTTAAAAACTGTGAACTTTTCATATGCATACATTTATACTCATGGTTTATAAAGAGTGATCTGATTGCACAATCTGCTTAAATTGGTAGTGGTGTTAGAAAAGAACAAACCTTTGGATATAAAAATGTAGAATGAGCGTGTCTGTTTTATGGGTGGAGGGAATAGGTACGATGATTATCTTCTGGACACTGCTAGGTTTGTTATATGTAGCATGGGTATCTCTTTGCTAATGTGAATGCTAGAAGCCATGATGGCGTTTCACTCCAAATGAACTTGAAGATTAATCTTAATACAACTAACCATCTAGCTTGAGCTTCTGTCGTGATGGTTCTAGATAACTAAATGTAGTAATGTCATGGTTAACTTAGTTTTTTAGAAAGATGATTTGAGTAGGGCCATATGAGTAGCAGTAAGTAACAAAAGCTGAAATCTCATTTTCAGGCACGAGAAGGAAGCGATATGATTACATGAATATTCAGGATGCAAAAAATTGCGTTGAAATTCATTTTAGTTAAGGGAACCTATGCAGACTGACTGGTTAAATGATGGAGTTGATTTAGCTTGAAAACGGCATGAGTTGTATGGATATTTTCTTAAATCCTGCCCACATATCGACCTTACTATCATTTTGTTTGGAGACTTTTTTTTTAAGGTATCTGCATGTCTTAACTTGCACACTTTAACATAAAAATTAGTCGGAGTAGTTTGGGCTTGGTTTATACTTTCTAATTCAGTGGAATTGCTTATACTTTCTAATCTTGTTGTTCTGTTATTATTTATTTATTTTTAACCAACATTTGTTTCACTTGAAGCTTGGATAACAAATATCAATGTATTTATTTTTTGAAGTGCGACCATTTTTGTACAATCTCTACCTACCTACGCTGCCTTGATTCTTCATGGCGACGCCGGCTCCCTCACTCTATGACTCTCCTCCCTCCTCTCTCTCTCTCTCTCTCTTTTTCTACTTCTGTTCATCTGATTTCCTCCGTCCATTTCCGCCTCTTCTCTCGATCTTAGGCGAACATGATTTTCACCTAATTTTGCCTCCAAGAGGAACCAGCATCGACGATCTCTTTCTCGATGTCGGACCTGCTCTGCTCCCACTCTCCATTGCATCTTTCTCGATGCTGCGCCTGTCGAGATGAAGGTACAAGGTTTTTCAGGCTTTCAGGATAATGAATTCAATACATATATACGCAAGCAATTGAGCTTCGTTTTTAGCGAGAGCATAACTTAACCGTTCACTCATTTGGCCAGTTTTTTCTTCTCAAACTACATTTAGCATTGATAGAGTAGGATTTATTGGAGATGAATTCGTGCGTGTTTCTTAATGGCATAGAAACCTTTTATCCTTTTGAATTGAATTACACCAATTCTATGATAAGTTAACATCCTTCTCTACTGTCGTTCATGAATGCAAATTCTGTCATAATAGAACCTATAGCATGGGAATTTCTAAAATCTACCTTGTTCGAAATTTGATAAATATCCGAACACATTTTTGTATAGTAAAGATTATGATAATTACAACACATTATTCACTTACATATAGGGAAAGGAACCAATTGGAATGAACTAAAAATCCATAATTAAAATAAAGTTTGTGGGAGCTGAATGAAAGAAAATTCCTAAGAATTTGAGATAGGGAAGTCTAAACCAAGTATTTTAATATACTTCTCTAACACTTTCTTTAGCACACAATTTTGTCTGAACTTGTAGGAACAAGAGTGAAGGGAAAATATTAAGTACCGAGCTCTAACTTTGAGCTAAAACCAAAGAACACACCCATAAAACATAACTCAAGACAAAGTTCGTTTCTTAGTTGAATTCTAAAATCCAATAGAGTGAATGGTAAAGAATGAGAAATAGAATTGGGATGTATTTTTATTAATATTCCTAACATTTAAATAGGACGTAGGCTACCAATTAATACCTGTATATATTATGATAATATTATATCTCTTTATCCTCCGGCCACTTCTTCAAATTCGTTCGTTTAAACCCTTTTAAACATCTAACAATCAAGCTGAGCAGAGCAGAGCATAAAAGGGTGCTTCGTTTTAAGGAAAGGAAAGAAGCATTAATGTAATGGCAAAGGAAGAGGCGATTAGATTATATAGAACTAAAAAGCAGAGGTGGATATTTGATTGGAAGCGTTGTGGATTGTCCACCACAACCCCCCACGCCCCCACCACGCCCCCACCACTCCCCTTTCATTGCCCAAAAACAAAAACAAAAAAATAATAATAAAATAAATAAATAAATATCTTCCTCCCAATCTTTTTCTTTTTCTTTTTTAATTACGCCCAACCATCCATCGCCACACAAACACACGTGACCCCAATACCACTCTGGGTCTCCTCCAGCTCACCCGCTGACGTGTCACTTTTATATTTCGGATATTTTCTTCCTCTCTCCCTCGGCTCCTCTCTCCATTTGCCGCTGATATTTCTTCAGATATTTTCTCCTCCGCAAACCAAGTCTTCTTCTTCCTCTTCTTCCTTTCTTCTTGTTGTGAGTGAGATGGGCGAGGCCGTGGTGGTCAGCTCTGAGGATGATATGGCGGACGTTCAGAGTATGGGCACTCATAAACCCCTCACAGATGCCCCCTCAAGTGGAGTGTTTAGGTGGGACCGATTTCTGCCCAAGATCATGCTCAGGGTCTTGCTCGTCGAAGCCGACGATTCCACCCGACAAATTATCACCGCCCTTCTCCGCAAGTGCTGCTATCGAGGTCTGATTCTCCTTCTCCTCCTCCTTTCCCCCCTCCGATTACCTCTTTCAACTCAACCTATTTTGGGGGGTTTTTCTTGTTTAATCAGTGGCTGCTGTTCCTGATGGCTTAAAAGCTTGGGAGATTCTCAAACAAAGGCCTCGTAGTGTAGATCTTATCTTGGCGGAAATTGAATTGCCATCCATCTCTGGCTTTTCTCTGCTCACTTTGATCATGGAGCACGAGATTTGCAAGAACATTCCTGTTATAAGTATGTTCCTCAAAACACTGTTGCAGAGGAATGCTCAGATCTAACCCATTTTACTTCCTGCAGTGATGTCATCTGAAGATTCTATCAGCACTGTTTATAAATCCATGATGAAAGGTGCAGCAGATTATCTTGTGAAGCCCTTAAGGAGGAATGAGCTGAGGAATCTGTGGCAACATGTTTGGAGAAGACAAGCAGTATGCTACTCCTCCTACTCATTCTCTCACCATAAATACGAACATAATTCCTTTTACAAACACAAATTTATGAACTGCATATCATCAATGTTTATTTATTTCAGTCATCCATTCAAGAAAAGGTTGAAGTCACTTCAGAAAATGAGACTGCAAGCAATCACTCAACTGGGTATAACAAAAACATTGAGAAAGGGAGTGATACTCAGGTTAGAATGCATAATTCAAATCTTTTAATTTGCTTACATGTGCTTGTGAATCTAACCATGACTATGACTCGAATTCTGTAATGGATCAAACCTACTACTAGTAGATATGGTTCTTTTTCAGCTTTTTCTTTCAAGCTCCCCCAAGGTTTTTAAAACATGTAGAAGTTTACAAACTTTCATAAAGAAGGTTGTCCTCTTTGGACTTCCCCTTTTGGACCTTTATAAAGAATGTTGTCCTATTTAGGCTTCCCCTAAAAGTTTTTAAAACGTGTCGAGTAGGGAGAAGTTTTCACACCCTTATAAAGAATGTTGTTCTCTTCTCGCTTTTTCTTTCGGACTTTTTCCCAAAGTTTTTAAAACTGGTCAGCAAGAGAGAGGTTTTTCACACTCTTATAAAGAATGTTTCGTTCTTCTCTCCAACTATCGTGGGATAAGTGTCTTATTCCAGCCAAAGACTAATGTTTTAGTGTTCCTTGCAGAGCTCTTGTACAAAGGTAGACTTTGAGGCTGGAAGTCAGATGCAGGAAAATTCAGAGTGTAGGCAGGGAAAAGCATCTCCCAAGAATTTCAAGCTACAGAAAGATGAACATCACATAAATTTGAGTCAAAGATTGGTTATGCACGAAAATGAAGCTGGAGGTAGCACTTATTAATTTGTTCAACTGCTCTGGTTGTTTCATATGGACGTTCTTTTTGTTTCAACAGCTAACTTTTATAAATGTTTGTACTGTGCTAGGAGGATTGGCACCAATTACACTAAGCATGGGTATTGAGCCAATCAATGATGGGAGAAGTCCTAATATTGGTAGTGAAGCAGGTGAGAATAAGGATTTGCTTGGCAACCCATCCAGAGATGCCACTGCCTTGAATCATGATAACTACCAACAAAGTTCTCCTTCCAACAATTTCGGCTCTGCTCTTCATTTGGATCTTTCCCTGAGAAGATGTCAACCTAATGATTTTGAGGAACGTGTTGCAGAAGGACGGTCTACCCTCAAACATTCTAGTGCTTCAGCTTTTTCGAGGTGTGTTTTCATTTAAGTTCTGATCCTTGGCCTCTCATTTGTGTGTGTGCCCGCGTGTGTGGATTTTGATTAAAACATTAGTCTTGGCTAGAATAAGACTAAAAGAGTGAGATTCTATGTTTGGTTGTGGGTATGAGAATCTCTTAATCCCGAAAGAAAAGTCCAAAGGGGACAATTTCTACTAGGGACTTGGGCTCTTACTTTTGATGGTGATGAGTTGAATGGTTTAGTTAGTTTAGTTATGGAAGATGATGATGTTATGAAATTGTAACGGCCCAAGCCTACTCGCAGATATTGTCCTCTTTGGGTTTTCTCCTTCAGGCTTGCCTCTAGACTTAAAAATGCGTTTGCAAGGGAAATGTTTCCACACCCTTTATAAAGGGTATTTCATTCTCTTCCACAACAAACTTGGGATATCACAGAAATCATCCTTATCAGTCTTTCTATTTGCTGATCTTTGTGGGGGTGATTATGCAGATACACTTTCAGGCCATTGCAAACATTAGAAGCAAAATCAAGCAGTATCTATGACGAACAAAAGGAATCTGGAAGCAATCCCGAGCATATTGGAAGTATTGCTGCTACTTCTACCTCTGATACAATTAATCCTACGCCAAGATCAAGTACTTCACGCACCGTAATCCCTCTTCAAGTTTCAGTAAAAAACTCGGGCTATAGCTCTTTACCTTCTCCCAAGTTCTGCACACAAGGGGGTACCCCATCGTTTCCATGCCCAACTTTAGTCACTCATCCAGAACCCATCTTTGGAAAACAAACAGTTTATCCCTTAAACCTTGAGAATCATAATTTGGAGCAATTTCTGAACCAGTATCACAACGTAAGCAGTACAACAAGCAGAAAGATAGAAAACTCAGGGCAGTCTACAGAAAATCAAGGCCATATATCGCCTACCACCGATCATAGTGCAAACGGTAGCCTATATGGTGGTAATACTACTCATGTTAGAAGCATGGGATATCCTAGCAGCTGTGGAAACAACAGAAATGTCGATTGCATCGGCATTGCAACAGTTACATCCGAGAGCAGAAATGAAGAAGCTTTGTTTTCTCAAGGAGGAGGAGATTCTCACCGATTCGGTCAAAGAGAAGCAGCTCTATCGAAGTTCCGACTCAAACGAAAAAATAGATGTTACGAGAAAAAGGTAGTTTTACACGTCTAATCTCGCTGCTTTATTTGGTTATACAACAGTGCTGTTTTCTTATGGAGGCATTTCATCTCAGGTGCGTTATGAGAGCAGGAAAAAGCTGGCTGAGCAGCGTCCTAGAGTGAAGGGACAATTTGTTCGTAGAGTATACACTGATGCAGAACCCAACACCAATACATACAACGCTTAGCAGTTGGTAGCAGCGCCTGTAAAGTCCTTAAATACTCATAGAAACTGGATTTGGAAACTACAGGAAGCATAAGAGCGTGTAGTTTTTAGAAATTTCATGAGGGATATTCTTTTTATTTAACATGTAGATACACATCTTCATTCCCACATATGTATATTAATTTTGTTTCTCTTTCTGGTCTGTTTGGATACACTTTGTTCTTGGAATTGAACTGAGTTTATGATGGTTGTATGAGTACTGATTTGATTATATAAGAACATTCACAAGCGCTACAAGAAGCTGTTCCTTGCAGTATTATATTATTCATCTTTCTGCTACACTCATAATTAGGGATCAAAGGGATGGAAATGATGATATAACATGTAAGAACTCAAAAATCCAGAGAATCAAGACTAACCCATTTCCAGAAATGCTTCTTCACGGACACAGCCTCGTCCGCAATGCTCGACTCCTCAGAATTCGCGTATTCCTCCTCCTCCACAGTGCAGAAGTCTTCCTTGGGCAAACCTTCCACCAATACATCCATGGAATGCAAAACGTAACAAGCCGGCAAACCAGGATATGAAGCCGAGTTTCTCTCCTCGATCTTCATTTTATATGAATCTGGAACAATCTTGACAATTTCAGAACAATCGGAATCGCCAAGAATCGAACCGAGTTCTTCTTTGACAGCCCGGTAGACGGCAGATTCAGGGGTCTCATTGGGCTTCATTTTCTCCGACAAGGGTCGATTTCGATTCCGTAGGGTACCATCGGAGAGTTGCTGGTGGGATTCGAGGAGAATTCGGCGGTGGTTATCAATAATTCGAAGAGAAAGGACCTGAACGGTGCGGATAGGAGGGGTGGAGTCGGCAAGGGAAGTTTCCCCTTCGGAGAGTTCAAGCCAGAGGTTGTGGACGTTCTTGGTGCCAGGCTTAACGCCCCAAGAAGCAAAGGAATCGGAGGGCAAGCGAGGTTTAAGCCAATCGGAGAGGGATTGAGGGGAGGCGAAGGGGTGGAGGCGATGAGCGTCGTGGGGTGTTCTGCCGGAGTTGGGATGTGAGAAGGACATGGACGGCGTCTTGAGAAACCGGCGAGGGTTTGATTGAATACAGAGAAGAGGAAGCTTGAAGGATCTGGAGGAGGAAGAAGAGAGGAAAACGAAAAGTGAGAGAGCGGCGAGGAAAAAGTCAGGAAGAGGCGGAGATCTGGTGAGGTGAGGAAGATCGGAGATGGGCTGTGGGGGCGGAACTGGCGGTGGGGCTGATGGCATATCTCAACGACGATCATACCTACTTTGAAGGCGGCGATGAGCTTTGAAATCGATACGCAGCTCCATTCGACAATACCCAGAAGAAACAGAGGCGGAAGACGACGGCGACGACGAGGTTGTACAGGATGAGTGGGGAGCGGATGCAGTCCTCTTTATATGGAATACCGACCACATATTTTGTGTTATATTCTTTTTGCCACCACCCCTTTGCCAAACTTTGTGCCTTTCTTCCTTTTCTTTCCTAATCTAAGGGTTGTTTTTGCACGTCTAATCTAAACATTATATGTTCGTCTAGGTTAGCTCAATTAAGGACTAACATATTTGTCATGACAAACCGTCATTAATTCTAGGTAGGTCAGTCGAGACGTCGTACCAATGTGGTATTTTGTCCAACACGCTTTGTTCTCCAAGTTAGTATTGAAAAATGTTGTTGAGCAAGCGGAGTACAATTGAGTTTTATACCGTTGTTTAGTGAACATAATTTAGTAGTATTTAATTCCAAGGAATTGAAATCGAGACAATTCCTTGGATTGGAAATAACATCAATAGGGTAATACACCTTCTTGTTGGATCTAATTATTTTTGTTTAAACTATTGGGTATGCATGGTTTTGTAAGGTGTTAATCACAATGTGTAATAGAACATGATATAAAATTATATAGGACATGTTTTATTCCTGACTTGGTTATTGGTATATGATGATAACTATTTGGTGATAATTACATGTTAGTTATTTCGTAATTACTACCGTGGTTACTTCAGGTATAAATATTTGGCGATGATTGCATGTTGGTTATTTTGTAATGACCGTCATGGTCACCTTAGGGTAATGGTAATATTTGCTGGTAATACACGTGGGATATTTCACAATTACCACCATAGTCACATTTTTTATGAAAAAAATTACCAATGGTGTGTTTGTCTAGTGATCCACTTAGAAATGCTTGCATATCTAACTAGCCATCTTACTCGTGCCTATATCAGATTGTGTATATCCTAGAATTTGTGAGGTGCAACCTCTGTTGATTTCGACATTGAATAGCTTGTTATGGAACATTATAGAATAAATTAATTGATACCTGACTTTTTCGATCTCCGATGAATTAGTTGACGAATTCTACCTAGTTCCATAACATATACCAAGTTCTATGAGGGGCAGCTTTGTAGCATTCAAAGAGAAAAATCTTGAATCATAATATAATGACCCTAACTTCTAGTTAAATACCATGGATATAGGCTATAATCTCTCAAAAGTAAGGCCGGTTTTATTACTTATCAAAACATTTTTGGTAGTCCTCCAAATTCCTAACTCAAAAAGTTTTGGTTGGCTTACTCACTTTATTTAGGTCTGGAGTGGTTCACATGAGTTGATGCAATACGATCTCGTGAAGGACCCATCAAAATTTGTGAGCGTTTATGGCTATGTTATGGTTGTGTAAATCCTAAATCTATGAGGTACTCTTATATCAAAATTTGTGAGCAAACTAACTAGCCATCTTTTTTATGTCTATGTTATGGTTGTTATGGTTGTGTAAATCCTAAATCTATGAGGTACTCTTATTAGTTCCAACACAGAATAGTAACAACCCTAATTTTCAAATAAGGCAACCCGTGATCCTCTGCTCAAGGCAATTATAATCTTCAGCCTAACAATCCAAGCTTTTGTTAGAATAAGAACCTCTAAATAAAGAAATTAACACCTCCTTATACAAAATTCGGATCAACCAAGAGATAATGCTAGAATTAGATTACCTATCTTGCGATCAAAGATCTAGAAGTAAGATTTGGAACCTTGTTCTAAATTGAGTCACTCCACAATAGAATTTGATCAATGCTTAATTGAATGACTCGTAAAAGCCCAATTTGAGATCTCAATGTCATTTATTTACCATCCATTTTTTTTATGTAATAATTTGTGGGTATTTTTGGTCTCCTCACAAGAGATGTTTGTGGTCATGATTTAATCCCGATCTCCTTAAATCTCCACAAATGACGAAGTCTATTCGACAATTACAAATTTTATAAAATTAAAAATAATAAATAAAGTTTTCTAACAACTCATGAAATGATGCTTGCAACTCCATCCGCTATTTCAACCGTGCAAATATTCACTTTTGAAGTTTCAAATAGTCCTTCCACAATCGAAACAGCTTGTAACACATGAAATAATGGTTGAACCGAGCCTATCCAATTTTATAGATGAAGAATGAATGCTTGTTGAATCTTCTTGGTCTTAGATCATGTAATAGATCCAGTTGGAACATTTGGAACACTGTGATTCTTATCGTCTTCCTCATCTTCAAAAGAATGTCTCGAATCAGAAAAATCATCACCTACATCAAAAGGACTCAAGTCGGCAACATTGAAAGTAAAATGTACTGAAAATTCTGAGGAAGATTAATTTTATATGCATTGTTATTAATTCTTTCAAGGACTTAATAAGAATCATCCCGTCTTGGATGTAACTTTGTCTTCCTTTGAGATGAGAATTGCTCCTTGCAAAAATGTATCCAAACCCAATCATCAGGTTGAAAAATAATTTATTTCGATCCTTTGTTAATTCTTGGAGCAATTTTGAAATTTTGTTTCTCAATTCTCTCCTTCACATCTTTGTGCAATGTTTTGATCAAATCTGCCTTACTCGTGGTTGCTTGCATTTGCTTCTCCTGGGGATTGGTGGGCGAACAAAAGTGTTGTATTTCACAAAAATATTAGAAGGAATAGAAAGCAAATCAAGAGACGCAAGTAAATTAAATCTGTAACGACCCGAAATTTTCTACTTAATTTAAAGTCGCTACTGTATACGTACCATAAACATTGAATGCGGAAGACTTCATTTAAATTCCATAGAACATAACTTTTATCTTAAAACACAGTCATGGATTTACGTGTTTTGAAAACATCTTTAAAATGACACAACAAAAGACTAAATAAAATAAATAAGAGTATGGGTTAAAAATATCATATTCAAGCCTAAGTCTAAGAAAATAAATATCACTATCCTATGCATATGTCATGGTCTCAAGTTGTGATGCCATCGTCAGCCGTACAGGAATGCCTTGCCTTAACCTGAAAAATGTAGTAGCACATGACTTGATTATTTAAAGAAATAATTAGTTAGTGACCCAACTATTGGGGTTAAATACAACAATCACATGCAAATGAGATGATGGGACCTATCATTCAATTTGTCTTCCTACGGTACTGTCCTAATGGGTAATTTGGACGTGTACCATATACTCTACACACAGCCCATACATGCGAGTATGGGCTCACCAGTTAGTTCGCACACCGCTGGGCCACTTTCCTTGTCTGGTGAGCATACTCTGGGAGCTCCTTAGGCCGGACACCCGTTAGAACTAGTCACCGTCACGACAGTGCTATGCAAACATAACAATCGTTGTCCTGCCATTGGATGTACGCATCCGTACCCTCGTGATGGAATAGGGGTATCCCCCAAATGCATGAGCACACATAATGTATGAAGTCCCCAATATTTCTACTTTTTTCATTAATGAATATTACCCCGCTATCATCTTTCATGCTTAACATGTCATTTCTCATTTTTAGTCTATGTATCATACATAATCCTAACGGGGTTACATTTCATTTCATGTTTCGTGATATCATGTCATTCATAACATGCTGTATACATACAATTTAGAAAACATAACATAACGCTCCATGCTTTTAACATGTCATTTCATAATGTGCAATTCATACAAAAATTACCTCAATGGTCACACAAAACAATCTAAATATGACACATCACATCACAATATATCGTATCATAAACATTGAATATCATAAACACTTCGTGGTCATATCGTTCTCTAACTTATCATAGTTTAACGTTTTTATACCTATCACAGTCATATCGTTACGTGAACGTACCTTAGTCATACCATCATAGGAATGTAATCTAACGTTATTGTTCTATCAATCTATCACAAACATATCTCTTTCCACCCTATACCCTAACCATATTCTTTCATCAATCTCCCATATCCATAGCACTTCGGTATATAACCTAACCTTAACGTTTCATGAACGTATCTTACTCCTATCGTTACATTTCGTTTTGTGCATCATTCTTGTATCCTATCTCAAACCTATCCTTGAACACATCGTACCATAATTATTTTCATACCATTCACATATTATAACATAACATAAACATAATATAAGCATACCAATTAATAGATAATTCACACATCAATATATATGACACGTGCAGAACCACAGACACGGTCAACATCCAATATAACCATGTCGATAGTAAGACCACTTACCTTGCTAGCTTAAGTCATTGTCACGAATATATCTTTAATGAAAGTTTCATTCCGTCCTTTGAAATCGAAGTCAATCTATGTGAGCCCATGATATGAGTTTCAAGTTTGAACCCTATAAAATTCTCTCTCTAATTTACCTTGGCCATCCTAAAATTATGATATTTCCTTTTTAGACACAATTGAAGGGAGTTACTTGCCCGGTATATTATTTACTGTTTTATTGTTAAATTCTGTTTAACAAATCTGTTTTCAATCTCCCTCCCTCTTTCTGTAATTATTTTTGTAAATAGATTTTTGTGTAAACAGATATTAAGGCCAATTTTAAGTCAGATTGTTTGGCTAACAAGTTTATAAATATGCCAACTAATATTTTATTTTATTTTATTGAATCTAACCTTATTTAACTTAGAATGCTAACAAAAAATCTAATTAATTGGAAAAATCTAATTAATTGGATATGGGATCTGATTATTACAGGTAAAATATAAAAGAAGATTTGATCTTAAATTAATTTCTTATAAACATAACTATGAAGGCAAAGGAAATAGATTTTAGAGTAATAACCGAACCAAAATCCCTAAATATGTCGTATGTTGAAAGTCATTTTACTCCTCAAATCTGACCTTTCTCTATTTCTTTTTACAGTAGCGGTTACTCTGACCTAACAATGGGTTGAGAAGAGATAATTGTGGGAAGAGATGAGAGGTTAATGGAGAGAGGGGAAAATCTTGTTTTTTTTTTTTTTTTTTTT